CGTCTCTATGTCAAATTGAGAGGAACTTGAAAAATATTTATAACTTAGACGTTATGTTGTTTTAAGTTCAAATAAATTGGCTGAATTTGGTTAGATTAATCAAGGGAAATTATTTTCTTGTCATTTTTTAGAACTTGTATTGTTTTTTATATTTTTTCTACCAATAGAAAGATGCAAAATATCTTGTGAAGAATATGAATAAGTTACTATTTGTCTTTTTTCTATTCTGGTAAACTTAAAAAAAATGTAGTTTCTATTCAATTATAAAATAGCTCTGAAAACTCAAGTAAGGAAGCTTTCACCTAAAAAAAAAGCTTGTGAGGGAGGTTTGATAATTGAAAAAATGAGCTTTTTGAATTTTGACTTGGTCAGGTAAGGTAATATAAATTGATAGCAATGTAAAAGTAAAGAGAGTTTACTTCAATTCATGATATAAAAAAGGCTGATTTTATGCTTAACATAAGCTTGTTCTTTGCTTTTTGGGTTCCTTTTCACATCCAAATGGCAGATTGTGGATGGTTTTCTTCTGTACAGTTCTTTTCTGTATTTTGAACTTGAAAAACAATTTTTCCTTTTCTTGGGGGGGGGGGATTTTTCCAAATTTTTGACACATGGGAGAACCAACTGAATGTTTTACCATTGAAGCCAGCAGGAAAATGTGATAAAGCCTGTGTATGTTCTTACATAGTGACAAGGGACAAGAACCAATTTTTGTATGACTGCATCTTGGTACCTTTTTATATTTAGCAGAGATCCATTTACAAGCAAGACAACTCTTGTTGTTTGAAACAGAATATCCAATAATTTTAATTGATCAACTTTTTTTTGCCCAGACACTCCAAAAATCCATAATAAAACTTGTTGTTTCAATTCTTCCAGTTGTGAACCTTTTTGTTTTTATATCATAAACCAAATTTCCCTAAAGTTTCAATTGAGAGAAGTTTTTGATTGTTCACAGAAACTCATAAAGGACCATGATGAACATTGTTGCCTCAATTCTTGAAGTAATCAGCCTCCTCCTTGTTTGAAACAGATTTTCCCTAAAGTTTCAATTGTGAACAATTTATTATTCATTTGTCCCAGAAACTCAATACAGACTGTGATAAACCTTGTTGAAGTAATCAACCTTATTGCTTTTATTGCTTGAAGCATACTTTTCCCAAAGTTTAAATTGAAAAAATGTGTATATGTAAAGTTTCCATTAAAAATGTATTTGTGAAGTTTCAATTTAAAATTCTTTATTTATGAAGTTTCAATTGAAATTTTTTGCTTAGTCCCAGACATTCACAAAAAGACCATGATAAGCCTTGCTGAAGCAATGAACCTTATTTCTTTTGTTGCTTGAAACATAATTTTCCTTAAGTTTAAATTGAAAAAAATGTGTATTTGTGAAGTTTCAATTGAATTTTTTGTGAAGTTCCAATTTTAAAATACAGTATTCATGTGTGAAGTTTAAATTGAAATTGTTTGCTTTGTCCCAGACATTTAGAATAGCCCATGATAAGCTTTGTTGAAGTAATCAACCATATTGCTTTTGATGCTTGAAACAGAATTTCCCCAAAGCTTAAGTTGCAAAATGTGCATTTGTAAAGTTTCAATTAAAAATGTATTTGTGAAGTTTCAATTGATTTTTTTTGCTTGGTCCCAGACATTTACAAAAAGACCATGATAAGCCTTGTTGAATCAATGATCCTTATTTCTTTTGTTGCTTAAAACATAATTTTCCTTGAGTTTAAATAACAAAAAATGTGAATTTGTGAAGTTCCAATTTAAAAATATCCATTTGTGAAGTTTCAATTGAAATTTGTTGCTTTGTCCCAGACATTTAGAATAGCCCATGATGAGCTTTGTTTAAGTAATCAACCTTATTGCCTTTGGTGCTTAAAAAATAATTTCCCCAAAGTTTAAATTGGAAAAAAATGTGCATTTGTAAAGTTTCAATTAAAAATATTATTTGTGAAGTTTCAATTAAAAAATATAATTGGGAATGCAACTTTTTGATTTGTCCCAAACATTTTCAAGAAGGCCATGATAAGCATTGTTATCTCAATTCTTGAAGTAATCTACCATTTCTCTGTTTCAGTGAAGTGTGTTGTTTATAAATGCAGTATCTATAGAAACCTCTCCAGCAAAGGTGATTTTTCCAGTGGTGCTCTGGCATGGCAACAAGAGTTGTCCTGAGATAAAGAAGCCTAAGTTCATCATCCCAAATCTAGTGTATGTTTACCATTTATGAGAGATAGCACATGTTTTGAAAAGATAAAATGCACTCCATTTGAAAAGATGGAAGCTGAAGAATTATTGTGGGAATAATAATAAGAAACCCTGGCCTGTGGTGAAACATTGTCAGATATAATGTGGACTTTCTTCAGAACCTTTCTCCTCTGACAAATCTCTTTCCTTTTTTGTTTGTTTCACTGTACTGTACATGAATTGCTTGTTGTATGATAGACTTTTTTTGAATATATTTTTTTATATATCTGATGTGATTGTGTCTGAAGTGACAAGTTGAAACGTGTTTGTCTGAGACTTTGTTCAGTTTTTTTAGTCCTCCTAGGGGGAAAAGTGGATTGGTTTTGTTCCACTTTCGTTTCTGGGGTAATTAGGTGTGAAAAAAGGGTTTCATTGGAATTTTTTAGTGGTGCCTCGGTTAACGGACTTTAACAGAAACTAAAGCTGCTGAAGGAGCTCAGGATTATGAGCACTTTGCCTGAAATACTGTATTTTATTCCAGTTATTTTTTGGGTGGGAAATGGTTTTTTGGGGTGGTTTCATTGGTGCCTCGGTTAATGTACTTTAAGAGGAATACAGCTACCAAATGTGCCCAGGATAGGGAGCACTTTGCCAAAACAGTTCATTTTGCTTCTGTTTTTTTTCTGGTGGGAAACTGGGTTCTTGGGGTGATTTCAGTGGTGCCTCAGTTAATGGACTTTCAAGAGAAACTACAGCTACCAAAGGTGCCCTGGATAATTAACAATTTGCCAGAAAGATTTATTTTGCTTTTGTTTTTTTGTGAAAAACCATGTTCTTGGGGTGATTTGAGAAGTGCCTCGGTTAATGTACTTCAACAGAAACTACAGCAACCAAAGGTGCACCAGATAAGGAACTCCTTGCAGAAAATAATTTATTCTTCTTCATTTTTTTTGTGGTGGGAAACTGGGTTCTTGGGGTGGTTTTGATAGTGCCTCAGTTAATGGACTTGAAGAGAAACTACAGCTACCAAAAGTGCACCTGATAATGAACACTTTGCCAAAACAATTTATTTTTCTTTGGTTTTTGGTAGTGGGAAATTGTTTTCCTTGGGGTGTTTTCAGTAGTGCCTCAGTCAATGGACTTTAACAGAAACTACAGCTACCAAAGGTGCCCCAAATAACACTTTGCCAAAATGGTTTATTTTGCTTCTCTTTTTGTTGTTGTGGGAAACCTGGTTCTTGGGGGGGGGGGGGTTCAGTACTGCCTCAGTTAATGGACTTCAAGAGGAATACAGCTACCAAATGTGCCCAGGATAGTGAACACTTTGCCAAAACAGTTCATTTTGCTTCTGTTTTTTGTGTGTGTGTGGGGGAAGCTGAGTTCTTGGAGTGGTTTCAGTAGTGCCTCAGTTAATGGACTTTAACATAAACTATAGCTACCAAAGGTGCACCAGATAAAGAACACTTTGCAAAAAAGATTATATTTTGCTTTGTTTTTTTTGTGATGGGAAGCCTGGTTTTTGGAGTGGTTTCAGTGGTGCCTCAGTTAATGGACTTTGATGGGCTTGAGTGGGAAAGCAATGAGAAAGGCTTGTAAACCTCCAAATGCATGTAAGCTGAAGCTGCTATAGGTCTCTTGCATAATGAATCCTTTGCCTGAAACATTTTAATTTGCTTTTGTTTCTTGGTGGGAAACTGAGTTCTTGGGGTGTTTTCAGTAGGTCTTAGGTTAATTCACTTTGATGAAATGTTGGTGGAAAAGGACTGTAAAACTGAATTAACTAATTGCTTGTGAACTAAAGGTGTCCTGGATAATGGACACATTGTTTGAAAGAGTTTTTATGTTGCTCCATCCAAGTAATTTGATGGGAAACCAGGTTCTTGTACCTTGTTAAGTTTTTGAAGAAAAAAAACTCAGTTTTCTCTCAACTTACAAGAATTTCTGGCAAACCAATGTGGGGATTTTGTCATGTTTTCAAAAAAATTTGCAATACTATATGAATTTTTGTGTGTCAAATAGTGACCTACTTTANCCACTGAAAATTAAAAAATAAATTTTTGCTTGGATTTTTATTTTCATATTTGTTTTGCAAGTGATACTTTTTTGCATTTCCGGTTTATGAAGCGAATTTATTTGAAAATCAGGATATAAATTATTTTAAAAGAAACGTAGTGAGTGAAAGCAAAAAATAATTTTCCAATTCTTTTATAAAAATTTCGAGAGCACCAATTCAATAAAAAAGTCTTGTAAATTTGATTTCACTTCCGGCAAAATATTTTTTGGAACCCAGTATTTCAAATGTTGTATTTATTTATTTATTTATTTATTTTATGTATTTTTTTTTACCTATTCTTGGCCCAATTTTTTTTAGTGTGTGAGGGAAAAACTTTCTCTCTCTCTCAGAAACACGCCGCGTGAGAAAGACAGAAGTCTTTCTCAGTACTGTACTGGGGAAAGACAGGATTTCTCTGTCTTTCTCGAGTACTGAATGAAATAAGTACTGGGTCTGGACAATTTTTCGACCGGTGCCAACGATGACTTTCATTTCGGCTCAGTTCCTTTGTGGCGTTGAAAACCTTTTTTTGGTTGGTTTTTAAATTTTGGTATTGGTCTTGAATAATAAATGACCAGTTTTTTGTCGATAATTTTTTTAGAAGGATCTCTGAATTAAAAAAAAAAAGTTAAGTCACTGAGGCGAAAATAGGTCTTGGACATTGTTGAGCTCCCATTTTGTGAGAAGATGTTCAAATTTTTCTGTCAAGTAAAAATCAGCAAAATTCATCAGTGAAATACATTTGCTTATTTTTGTTACCTTTTTTTTTTGCAGTGACATGAGGTGAGGCAACTGAGTTTCAGCACCTGTGTGTGAGAGGTGAAGCAGAATTGTCAGTTTTTTTTTGTGCTTCTCACCCCCTGTGTGTGTGTGTGTGTTTGTGTGTGCTGTGTTCTGTGGGTGAAAAGCTGAAGGAAAATTCAGGATGAGCTTTTTGTTGGACCTGGTTGTGGGGATCTTCCTCATCATCTACTACATTTTGGAGTCATGGGTCCTGTTTTTCATCCCCAAGAGCCTGAGGATGAAGGACATTGCTGGACAAGTGGCCTTGGTCACTGGAGGTGGCTCAGGGATGGGCAGACTCTTGTGCTTGGAACTGGCCAAGAAGGGCTGCAGAATTGTCACTTGGGATGTCAATGAAGAAGGTGAGGAAATTTAACCAATTCTCTGTCCCAAAAAAAAAAAAAAAAATTAAAGGAAGGCCAATACACCTGAGAATGAGGGCTAGCTTCATTTTGAAAATGTGTCCTTGTAAATGCAGAAAACTCTAAAGAGATTTCATGAGAAAGCTTTCATGATTCTGGAATAAATATTGTGCTGTATTAAGAACTGGTTATAATTGAAAACTAAGTGTAAGATATTGGGACTGAAGTACAGTGAGACTGCAATAACCAGACACCCCAACATATGGACAATTACACTAGAAAAAAATTTAGTACATTAAAAAATTAATCTAAAAAACCACGTTTTCAAAAAGCAAAAAATAACCTTAAACATGGTGCGCATCTATTTCATTTGTATTTCACTTCTTCCCAACAATCTCCATGCGCACCACATTTAAGGTTATTTTTTGCTTTTTGAAAACGTGGTTTTTTAGATTAATTTTTTAATCTACTAAATTTTTTTGTGCTTTTTAGTCTTACTTGAAAAACGTGGTTTTTTAGATTAATTTTTTAATCTACTATAATTATTTTATTCTTTATAAAAAATATTCTTAAAATTTTTCTTTTCACAAAAGATTGCATTGTCATCAGTTTCTAAGCTATCCTGAAAGTTTCAGCTTGCTAGCTAGTCGGGAAGTGAGCGAAATTTGAGTTGCAAAATTTGATCTGGACAAACAAACGGACAAGAAAGCGAGTTAATAAAAACGTGTTAAAAAATCAGGACATTGGCTTGAGTTATTGGGTAGACACTTTTCTAAAAATTTCCCAAAAATTGAAACATTCATTGTAAAAATTTTATATCTTTTGAAGAAATCAAGCTACTTATATATTCCCAAAAATGGAAAAAAATATTTCATCATAAATTCTTTCTAATTCATAATCATAAGAAAGCCAATTTTATGCTTCATTTTTCAGAGTTTCTGTGCATATTCTGGCAAGACTTTGCTTTTTGATCTCCTTTTGATACCCAAAGATCAGATTCTATGTGGTTTGTTCAGCACTGTTGTCCCCTACAATTTGAAGCTGAGGGAAGCAATTTGTATCAACAACAACAAATTTCAAGGCCTTTTTTTCTAATTTTTGAAAAAAAAGAAAACCAATTAAATACATTATGATTGAAGTCTTTGGGAAAATAAGACTCAACTTAAGGACATTCCAACATCAGGACTTTCTTGATGCACCAATCATGTCTGCATCTCAGGGTCTAATTTTAAATTCCTTTATGTTGGTAATTTCAAAGTTTAGTCACAATAAGAAACTCAGAATAGTCACTTAGTATGTCAATGAAATTCTGTATACCCAATTCTCTGTCAAAAAGGAAAACCATTACATTTTAGAATATAGAGGCCAGCTTTATTTGGAAAATGTCCATTTTACAATCAGGAAGCTCTGGATAGATTTCATGAGAATGTTTTGATAATTCTGGAATAAGTGTACTGAACTGTGAGAAAATGAGGGCAAATGTTTATAAAAACTGAGGACATTTTCTTTATTGTGGAAATTTAAGTTCATTCACAGAAAGGGCTGCAAAATTGTCACTTGAAATCTCAATGAGGAAGAGGGGAGCATTTTGTCAATTTCCTGCACCTTTTTTCAATTTAAAAAAAAAATGGAGGCCAAGTGCCTCATGAATGGGGACCAGATCAATTTTGGGGGGATTTCTTTCAATAGAGAAAGCTCTAAATGGATTTCTTGAAAATGCTTTGATGATCCTCAAAATGGCTGTGGAGAAGGGAATTCATTTATTTTGAGGAATACTATATTTACTCATTACCACACAGAAGGAAGACATTTACATGAAATATCAGCCTGAAATTTGAAAAAAAAATTAACCTTGAGTATGATGCACACAATAGTTTAGTGACTGAAAATTGTAATACTGTAAAGCAGTTTCTTTTTCAAAGAAAAATTTTAAATTGATTTCATGGGAATGTGATTTATTTGGTTCTCAGAATTCAGGCTTTGTGAATTTGAAAATCATGAGTGAATGTGTGCAGGGACTCAAAAAAATCCATTTTTTCTGAGAATTTAAATATAGTTATGAACTGCATGCTATGCTCCATTTCCCTATACACATGTATTTTAATTTTGAAGTTTTCTAATTATTTCAGAGAATTTTAAATGTCTACATGCTGCCAATTATAAGATTTTTTTAAGCTGTGTTGAACTCTTTCTTGAGAAAGATATTGCCTTGGCAAAAAAACCCTCAATTTCTTCTGCATGCAGTCTGATGTAGAAAAAAATATGAACTCAAGTGAAGAACAATCTTAGTTGAGTTTACCTCAGTTAGTGAAGTTGACTGGGCTTATTTCTTTTAACTCATGATTCATATCTGCTCTTGTAAGTGAATCAAGTTTTACATAGATGGGGTTCAGTTAATTTTCTGAAAAAAGCCAATTGATTTGATCCCTACTCTTTTTTTAATAATCAAAGCGCTGTGCTGTAAAATTTGAAAATTTTATGGATTTTTGCTGATCAAGCCATTTCTTTGTTGAATATATTTCATTCAGTCTTTGAATATTACCCACTTATTCCATAATTACATCTTGATCAATCTTTTAAATGGCTGAACTGCTAATGTTATACAGCATATTACAAAGGTTTTTGACCAGGAAAATAAAATTTGGTTAATATTATCCTTTTTTATTTTATTTGTAAAAATGTTTTTGATTTTTTTTTTTCATAGGGAACAAGGAGACAGTGAGGCTGGTGAAAGCATATCTGAAGCAGCAGCCATCTGGCAAGCAGCATGAGCAGAAAGCAATAAATGTGGACAGTATGGTGCATGGGTTCAAGGTGGACCTGTGCAAAAGGGATGATGTGTTCAGGGTGGCCCAGTTGGTGCAAAAGGAAGTTGGCACAGTTGACATCCTCATCAACAATGCT